AGGATATGTTCAAGATTTACAGTGAAATCATTTTACAAGATGATTTACGTGGCACGTACATATCTGATCTGGGACTATCAAATTCTAATTCTGAACAAAAAATATGACGGAATTTTTGGGATCCCGCCATATATTGCCCAGAAATTCTAGTTTGTCAACCATATACTATAACATCAGATATTTATTTATACGGAATGCCCGTATCTTATGATCACAAATTTAGTGAACGTAGCTTCAGTTAAATATTTATTATGATGATTTACGACCACCCGTTAACAAAGGAGCACCAATATGTTATGTAAATCTGATGAAAGAATGTTGGACCAAAAACCTGAAAACCGACCATCAGCCAAAATACTCTGTGAAATTTTTATGAAATGGAAAAAGGATAGAAATGCTTTGTTGGAGTTGAATGATTCCATATTAAACCTTGACAATATCGAGAAATCTTATGCAGAAACATTTAGTAGGGGAAGCAAGTTTATTCCGTATAGCGAGTCGATTTGGATATTTATAAAATCTGACCTTCACTATTGATTTGTTTGTTTATGATTGTATACGGATTTTTCTTTTGTTCAAATATACATTTTATTAAATCTGTATGTGATATTTTTTTTATATTTGATATTAAAATTTCTCTAGGTATCTAACCGTTTAATTCAGCTGGCATCAAGATAGTCTCGTCAAAGGAAGATGATTTCTATTGTGATTAAAACTAAATTCTGCGTGTGGTTAAAGAATTTATGTGATGTGATGAATGTTTTTTTAATATATACGTGAAAATGTAATTCTGATCAGGTGTACCGAATATTTAATTCTGAAGTCAATTAATTGCAATTACTTGATCTCAATTAATTAATTGGTGGCGTAGCCACAATTAATCAATTATTTGCAATTTTTGCCGGAGTTTGTACGTGTGTACGTGTTGTAATAAAACACATGAAAAAGTATATTTTACTGCTCTTGATATTAAAAACTTGTAATTTAACTTTATACGTAATTGAATAAAAAAATTAAAACTATCAACTGATTTCTTTTAGCAACTTGCAGAATTTATGTTTTTTTTCGAAGATACATACATCAAATAGCGCTCTAAATATCTGTTTTAAATTAGTTCCAATGAGCGCAAAAGTTTCAAGCAAGTGTTACATGTAGACTTTTCTAAACTAAAGATGATGTGATGGTAAGCGCCTTTGTAATTTGTGTCTTTCTGGTTCACAACTGATAACCTCAAAAAAGAATCGGGTTATACGAATTTAATGAATCATTTAAAGCAAGAAATGAACATTCTAAGTTGCTTTACCAACAGCGAATCAAAATGATATCTTTACAGCTCAATATTTTAATTAACTTTATCATAAAATGCTAATTTTATTTGCTGGATTAATTTTTTTTTTATTTTCAAAATTCGATATTATTAAGTTATTAGCAATTAATTTAAATGTAATTGTTGTTTATTACAATTTTACATAATCGTAATTGCATAAAAATTGATTCTTTATTTAACATAACATTAACTAGTTCATAGGAGTGAAGGAGAGTATAAAAAATACACAAATAAAAAAAAATACGGTAATTCTATTGGCTGTAAAAAATATGAAATATATAAAAGCTTATATTGCGATTTGATTAGTTAATGTGATATGTATTTTTTCATAAATTTTTGAAAAATAGAGGGGATTATGTTAAACGAAGAATTAAATTTCTGAAATCAAAATCATCATCGATTTGATCAAACTTTATACTTATCTATTGAAGCTCAATAATTTTCAACCCTACGTCATAACTTTTCAAACCGATCTAATTCTAGTCAAATTTGCAGATCATGAGACCCTGGTTTACCGGGTTTAAAACCGATAAACCAGGGCTAAATGATCTGATTTGACCAGAATTAGGTCGGTTTGAAAAAAAATCGGCCAGACGGGCAGTCCCGAATAAAAATTTGGTAATTCTGGCCGAAATTATACTTAAAAATTTTTTTTATAAACCCTAAATCTAGCCTTAACATTATTGTGCTTTGCAAAAAGGTGACCTCTGCAGTAAATAGAGTCGGTACTTTTACTGAAATCAAAATTACATGTAATTTTTATCATGTGAATAATTTTTTATAATGCTAGTATTAAAAATAAATAAAAAGTACAATTCCGAACATAATGATTAATATCTATTAGTGCTGACTAAACTTTTGTAACTATTTAATGTAAAAGTACGTTACAATTTCGTAAGTTACAATGGAATTACATGAAACGTAACAAAGTAGTTTATGTAATACATCCCTAGCAGTAATGTAAAACTAGACGATTTATCGATTCTAAGAGAATTATACCGATTTCCAAATATAAATAGTGCTAACTAATGATGTGCCACGTACTGTACGCTACGTACGCAAAAATTTTTACCGATTCTTACCAGCCAATAAAATCGCTAGATACGCACTGTACGTACTGTAGCGAAAAAATTTCGGGTATCATTTAAATGGCACATAACGCTAAACGGCGAGTCGGTCGCTACAAAACCTGGGACGTCGTGTAACCTACTAACGAGCTAAGTCGAATAGAGGCGTTTAGATTTGGACGATCCGGGTTTATAGTTGTAGGTACATATTCTTCTCCTTGTCTTGAACCTTTCGATACGGTTTACTAACACACTAACACTTGTATTTACTATCCACTATTATTTTAACAAAACCACGACTTGGACCCTCCACTTGAACTTCAAGCCGGAACAAAACAATAACCTCAACTATCCATGGTACGTTGGGAGAGTTGGAAAACAATCACCACGGCGGTCCTCAGTACGTCGAGACAGGGTAACGGTATACTTTACGATTATCACATGAGCAAGAACACAAGAGCGATAATCGTACCACTTATGCCACTTAAGCAGTAGATCGGTATATATGGTATTTAATTATAATGTGGGAGAGTATGTAATTATTAGAAGACGGATTCATTGGAATCACGAAGGAGATCTCTCGAAGTCTTTATTATATACTGCTTATTACATATGCACTCCTAAAGCTATTAAACATATCATCCGTGATTAATCCCTTCAACTGATTATATCACTTAAACCCTTAATCACTTTAATACCCACTAATTACCGTTTTCCTTTATTGCATTTATAACCCTTCTAGCTACCAAAGACCCGAAACGACGTAATTCATTAACCATGACTAGGAGTGTATTACATAAATTTGTTACGTTTCATGTAAATTACATTGTAACTTATGAAATTGTAATATAACTTTACATTGAATAGTGCATTGTCGATAATTTTACCGACATTACAAAAGCTAATAGATATCCATCATTATGTTCGGAATTGTACTTTTTATTTATTTTTAATACTAGCGTTATAAAAAATTATTCACATGATAAAAATTACATGTAATTTGATTGTGTAATTTTCCAACAAAATCGTCCGGGCGGATCCTCGATTTTGATCGGCTAACGGCCGTGAATCTGCCGCATTACATAATTGTCTGGCCGGATTCAACTTTTTCATTTCAAAAATAGAAAATTTCAAAGAAATAGACCCACACGACGGTAAAATTAGCCCAGGAACAATTTTCATTTAATGGACGGCTGTGATTTTATTAGTAAAATTTCGAGTAATTCCGGCCAAAAAATTTTGTTCGTCGCTCTTAGCCAATCAAAATCGAGAATCTACCGGGACAATTTCGTAGGGTTAATGTTAAATCGTTACTGCACCACGTCGGTCACCTCCTTTACATGCTTTCGGGATCTCGTTTTTTACGGCTAACAATAGATATCACTAATCGAACATATGATTGATGGATAATTTAGAATCTTCTAAATTCTCCACTATCGTTATCATGAAAATCGTGGGGTCACACCTTTTTGCCAAAATAATTTACAAGATTCCAGTCAGGCAGCTCAATTCTGAATCAGGACGATTCCAACCTGGGATACATTTAAATCACAATAAATAAATTGTAATATTACTAATCAATTCTGATCCCAGAACAGGGACGATGGTTTCCGTAATTAACAGAAAACAGCACAATGTTTTTTTAAAAACAACTAACCCCAAAAATTAACGGCGGTCATCACAAAATATCACAAAACTTAAAAATGGCACATAAGTTTAAGTTCCTCGCAGAATTTTATTATGTACGTGCGTACTGTACACACACACACGTACTGGAATTGGGTTACACTAATTGTATACCATGATAACGTGAGATTACATGATACTGTATTGATAAATAATATCGACCAATTATATCATGATATTCAGCAAAATTTGGTCGAAATACATAATAGGGAGTAGGTTCGATTGTCCGGTTATATGACAACCTCTGAAAAAATTATATCTTGTTAAGGGTAGGTTCATTCTGGGTTATGAAGTTTAAGTTAGGAAGTGTTCATATTTTTATTGTAAAATTTATAAGGAAAATTTTCATTGGATCTTAATTAAACCAAAATTTGGGATACAGTATTTCCGATCTCTTCAAAAGAACGTTTTGATTTGGATCTGATTGTCATATGAGCGGAAAGTCGATCATAAGTACGGACATATTACGTATATACTTTTATTTGTTATGCTTTAAGTAATTTATGATTCATAAAAAATCACATAAATCGGTTTTGAAATTTAACTCTTCATGTAATTATTGATAAAGTAAAATATTTATCAGATATTACTTATGATGATCTCTCACGTAAAACCTTTATTATACTATGTTTGCAATATACGATTGTAGAAAATAGTAGTTTTTTTTATACGTATTATTAATGCAACCAATTTTCACAATTAATGGACATAATTTAACAGAATTCAACACATTTACTACGCCATGATACATTCACCTTTTCGTTTGATTCATAACAAAATTATTGAACGGATATTGAAACTAACGAAGAAAAAAAATGTATAAAAATGCCATGAAAATTGGCACTAAAAATTCTCATTCTCAATTCAATCCATCTACAAGAAAAAAAAAGAAATTTTACAAAAAAAAACAAAAAAACAAAATGACTCTCTCTTCAATAAAATTTATTATTACTTTATTTGCACTTCTCACAATCTTACCAAATCTTGTCGCTCCTTTACCGAGTCCCATCGATAGCACTTCAACTCCAATGACAAAGGATGATCATCAACTATATAAACGATGTTTCTTCCCGAGATTTCTTTCTTTTGGATGTGCTATGCCTTGTTTCTTTTCTTGTCAACCAGCAATGATGCCTATGGTCCCCGCCATGCAACCAATGCAAATGCAGCCAATGCAGCCAATGCAACCAATGCAACCAGGTGGTGGTCAGAATGGTGGCGGTCAAAATGGTGGTGGCCAAAATGGTGGCGGCCAAAATGGTGGTGGCCAAAATGGTGGTGGCCAAAATGGTGGTGGTCAAAATGGTGGTGGTCAAAGTGGTGGTGGGCAAGGTGATGGTGGCCAAAATGGTGGTGGCCAAAATGGTGGTGGCCAAAATGGTGGTGGTCAAAATGGTGGTGGCCAAAATGGTGGTGGTCAAAATGGTGGTGGTCAAAGTGGTAACGGAGGAAAATGCCAAAATGGTAATGGAAAACGTAGAAATAAAAATGGTTGTCGATAAATATGTTTAATTTTTTTATAAAATTTAGATTCTTTTAATATAATAATGATATAATTGTTCCTAAAATTTAATATTAATAAATTCGTCTTATTAATTTTATGCAATAAACTTAAATGGTGCATTTGACGTGGAAAGTATATTATATGTTATTTTAAATTCTATCAACTATTAATTAGCGATGTCTTTTTTTTTGATTATTAAAATTAAAAAATAATTCGAGTCAGTTCTTAATATGGATAATCCGATGACCCACGGAGTTCTTAAAGCATTCTTGACATCAATATATAAATAAAATTTCTGGCACGTGATTAAGGGCAATTATATTGAAGGAGTAGGTGTAACGTGAAAATCACGTCTTTTTTAAAAAATCGCTATTAACACGAAATTTTACTTATGAAACTGCCTTCTGCGTTCTAATAAAAAAATTCCTCGTGAATTTTAATATAAGCTATGCCCTTCCTCATCCTTAATCCTAATACTAAAGATAGTGCTTATTACTTTAAAATCTTTTCTTTTACGTTACACCATCTAATTAGCAAAAAAATCATGTGCCGGAAAATTTTTTGTGGGTGATGCCTTAGTCATGGCGCAAAAAATCCGCGGTCACGTGATAATCGATGCTTCCGAACTTACTTTCCGATCTCGTGATGACCTCATGAACAAAAGTGTCTGATTGGCTAATAAATTCAATTTAATTTTACATTATTTATACAGTTTAGAGTACTTTTTAAAAAAACGAAATC